AGAATCAGGAATGCAAAAGAGGACATAACAGCAAACACCATGGAAGTCCAGGAAATCATCAGAGACTTCTTTGAGAACCTATATTCAAATAAATTTGAAAATCTTAAAGAAATGGACAGATTTCTAGATACATATGATCATCCAAAACTGAACCAAGAGGAAATTAATCACCTGAATAGATCTATAACACAAAATGAAATTGAAGCAGCAATCAAGAGTCTCCCCAAAAAGAAAAGTCCAGGACCTGATGGATTCTCTGCTGAATTCTATCAGACCTTTAAAGAAGAACTGATACCAACCCTCCTTAAACTGTTCCATGAAATAGAAAGGGAAGGAAAACTGCCAAACACATTTTATGAAGCCAGTATTACACTTATCCCAAAACCAGGCAAAGACACCTCCAAAAAGGAGAACTATAGGCCAATCTCCTTAATGAACACTGATGCAAAAATCCTCAACAAAATAATGGCAAACCGAATTCAACAACACATCAAAAAGATTATTCACCACGACCAAGTAGGCTTCATCCCAGGGATGCAGGGGTGGTTCAACATACGAAAATCAATAAACGTAATAAACCACATTAACAGAAGCAAAGACAAAAACCACTTGATCATCTCAATAGATGCAGAAAAAGCCTTTGATAAGATCCAACACCATTTCATGATAAAAGCTCTAAGAAAACTAGGAATAGAAGGAAAGTTCCTCAACATTATAAAAGCTATATATGACAAACCTACAGCCAGCATTATACTTAATGGAGAAAAACTGAAACCATTCCCTCTAAAATCAGGAACCAGACAAGGATGCCCACTATCTCCACTCCTATTCAACATAGTCCTGGAATTCCTAGCCAGAGCAATTAGGCAAGAAGAAGGAATAAAAGGAATACAAATAGGTAAAGAAACTGTCAAAATATCCCTATTTGCAGACGACATGATCCTATACCTTAAAGACCTAAAAAACTCTACTCAGAAGCTTCTAGACATCATCAATAGCTACAGCAAGGTAGCAGGATATAAAATGAACATAGAAAAATCATTAGCATTTCTATACACTAATAATAAACTGAAAAAGAATGTATGAAAACAATTCCATTTACAATAGCCTCAAAAAAAATCAAATACCTAGGTGTAAACCTAACAAAAGATGTGAAAGACCTCTACAAGGAAAACTATACACTTCTGAAGAAAGAGATTGAGGAAGACTATAGAAAGTGGAGAGATCTCCCATGCTCATGGATTGGTAGAATCAACATAGTAAAAATGTCTATACTCCCAAAAGTAATCTACATGTTTAATGCAATTCCCATCAAAATTCCAATGACATTCATTAAAGAGATTGAAAAATCTACCGTGAAATTTATATGGAAACACAAGAGGCCACGAATAGCCAAGGCAATACTCAGTCAAAAGAACAATGCTGGAGGTATCACAATACCTGACTTCAAACTATATTACAAAGCAATAACAATAAAAACAGCATGGTACTGGCACAAAAACAGACATGAAGACCAGTGGAACAGAATAGAGGACCCAAATATGAAGCCACACAACTATAACCAACTTGTCTTTGACAAAGGAGCTGAAAATATATGATGGAGAAATAGCAGCCTCTTCAACAAAAACTGCTGGGAAAACTGGTTAGCAGTCTGCAAAAAACTGAAACTAGATCCATGTATATCACCCTATACCAATATTAACTCAAAATGGATCAAGGATCTTAATATCAGACCCCAAACTCTAAAGTTGATACAGGAAAGAGTAGGAAATACTCTGGAGTTAGTAGGTATAGGTAAGAACTTTCTCAATAGAACCTAGCAGCACAGCAACTAAGAGATACCATGGGTAAATGGGACCTCATAAAACTAAAAAGCTTCTGTTCATCAAAAGAAATGGTCTCTAAACTGAAGAGAACACCCACAGAGTGGGAGAAAATATTTGCCAGCTACACATCATCAAAGGACTGATAACCAGAATATATAGGGACCTTAAAAAACTAAATTCTACCAAAACTAATGAACTAAGAAAGAAAGAAATGGGCAAGTGAACATTCTCAAAAGAAGAAATTCAAATGGCCAAAAAACACATGAAAAAATGCTCATCATCTCTAGCCAAGATTTTATGCAGCCATGAAGAAGAACGAAATGTTATCATTCGCTGGTAAATGGATGGAATTGGAGAACATTATTCTGAGTGAGGTTAGCCTGGCCCAAAAGACCAAAAATCGTATGTTCTCCCTCATATGAGGACATTAAATCAAGGGGAAACACAACAAGGGTACTGGACTATGAGCACATGATAAAAACGAGAGCACACAAGGAAGGGGTGAGGATAGGTAAGACACCTAAAAAATTAGCTAGTATTTGTTCCCCTCAACACAGAGAAACTAAAGCAGATACCTTAAATGCAACTGAGGCCAATAGGAAAAGGGAACCAGGAACTAGAGAAAAGGTGAGATCAAAAAGAATTAATCTAGAAGGTAACACACACGCACAGGAAATCAATGCAAGTCAACTCCCTGTATAGCTATCCTCATCTCAACTAGCAAAAACCCTTGTTCCTTCCTATTATTGCTTATACTCTCTCTTCAACAAAATTAGAGATAAGGGCAAAATAGTTTCTGCCTGGTATTGAGGGGTTGGGGCGGAGCGGGAGGGGGTGGAGTGGGTGGTAAGGGAGGGGATGGGGGCAGGGGGGAGAAATGACCCAAGCATTGTATGCACATATGAGTAATAAAACAATAAAAATTTAAAAAAATTTACAAAATAAAACAGAATTTAAAAAATTAATATAAAAATAAATAAAAAACCAATTATCTATTTTTCCAGTGTCTTAAAATCAATCATATACTTTCATTACTTTATTCCCACTCCTTTAGAATGGTAGAGAAAAGAATCCATTCTTATTCAAAGAAAGGAGGCTTTAAAAACTATACATCTAAATAACTATGAAAACCACTGACTCAACCCTTAACACAACTCCAGTCATCAACAGGCCAATCAGTGATAATTTAGCAGAATTGTTAGACTGCCTCAAATGCATGATTTAAAATCAGTTAGTTTTCAGCCCACAATCATATGACACTATCCACCAGATTCTGTGTGGAGAGAGTACAGCATAAAGGAGAGGGAAGAAGGAAGTAAGTTCCACCTAAAAAGGATTTTCTAACTTTACTAATCATACTGAACTTCACCATAAAAAATAATACAGAAAGCAGCATAACAGAGAGCCCATAAATGGACTAGAAGAATTTCTTATACTAATCTGTTCCCAAAAGCAAAGTGTTTGTTTGCATCAAACCAGGCTTTAGGACTACTCTAAAAGCAAAATTTCCAAACATCCATCATGGATCACAAAAGCTTAAGAGAAGTAAGATTGGGCTGGGACGCTTTTGCAAGAGAGGTTCAAGAAGAAATATATCTATTTAAGTTACCCCATATGCCCAAGATAAAACCCACACCAGTAAGAACATTTTGACAAAAACTAAAGAATTTCAGCAAAGCAGTGCAAGTATTAATGCCTATTAATTCTTGACCTGTGTTGAATAAACTGAATCACTAAAAAGTTCAAGTTGTCCACAGTTTCCTTCCATGGTAACCAACCTAGAATATAGGAGTGATCCAGTAGTAAACTAAAAAGGAGGCAAGACTTTTTTTCTGTTCCTTTTCTCAATTCTACAGACTGAGGCATAAATCTTACTAAATTATACGTACCCAGAAGCCTACAGTGAATATGACTTAGGACATAAGGATTTTTTTATTAAAAATAAAATGCAAGATTATACTATTGGACCCAATCTAATATTATAACCTTGTATTTTTAAAACATCTTACATTTTAATCAACAAACAAAGTGAAAAAATTACCAGAAAGCAAGTCATAAAACACCATGAAGATGACAGGTAATCACACATAAGATAAAATTCTAGTAGCAGAAATACTGTTGATAACAACACGTTGCTGTCAGGCACTATTCTAAGTGTTTTTGATCTGCTCCTTACAACAGCTCTGAAAAGGAGGAACTATTAATATCATTCCCACTTTACAGATGAAGAAACTGAGAAAAGAAAGGGATTAAATCACTGTCCAAGATCACAAACCTAGTGGAGTAAGGATCCCAAGTAACAGAAGCTTCTTAAAGCTATATTATTCTGCCGAAAGAGAATAAATCCTTATATACTAAAATAATGAGGTAATACAGAAACACTCGGAAAATTAACCTGCTATAAAACTCACACTTTTAAAAATTAAACACAGCAGCTGATTTTTTGTGGCTATGTACTACATTTTGAGTATGGTTTGCCCCCAAGCATTCATGTGTTGTAAGTGTGGTCCCCAGGGTTGGGAGATGGTGCTCAACTGTTAAGAGGTACAGCCTAGCTGGAGGTCTTTAAGTCACTGGGAGAGCTGCCTTCAGAAGAGAATGCTAGTCTCCTGATATGGGTTCTTTCTTTTTTTGTGGGGGTGCGAACAGGGTCTGAACCCTGGGCTTCGTGTGTGTAAAGCAGGCGCTCTACCACTTGAGCCACACTCCAGTCCTGGTATAGGTTCTTGTGAAAGTGAGTAGTTATAAAAGCCTGAGCCTGACTCATGAATCTTTCTGTGGCTTCTTGTTTTTGGGACGTGATCTCTTTCCTCCTTCCTTACTCACTCCCATCATTATAATGCCATCCAGCATTATGCCCTCACCAGAGGCCAAACCAAAGGGGTTGCTAAATCTTGGCCTTTCGGACTCCTGAATTGTGAGCCAAAATAAACCTCTTTCCTTTACAAAGTTGGTATGCCTCAGGTTTTTCACTATAGTAACACAAAACTAACCAATACACTACTTGAAAGAGCATTAAAGGAAAAAATATCTACAATAAGACTCATTTGGATCCTCATTTGTGAATGTAGCTTATATTATGTGAAATAATAGAATGATCAATAAATTAAAGTACTATATTGAAAACTTAGAGAATAAGGAAAATTTCCAAGAGAAAAAAATAGTAAGTAAATGTCAAACACATACTTGCAACCCTGGTTGCTCCCAGAACAATGGAACAGAGCCCCGAATTTGTATGAAAGAAGAAACAGAGTCATCTAAGTACACAACCTACAAAAAAAAAAAAAAAACTGTATTAGAAAAAGTTACTAAATTTGTGTACAGTAGCTACATTTTGTGACCTATATCTTACATACAAATTGTCCTAATTAAAGTATTCTAAATTGGTCAATAATAAGTTTGTTCTTTTCAGTTAGTAATAATGTTAACCAAGAAAATTATTTAAAAATGAAAGCATAAGAATCACAATTTTAAAAAGGAAACTCCTTTTAAATCTCAACATTTTATACATATACCTTTTATACTTTAATTTGTTTTCTTTAGCTTTTTATATTTCTCAAAACCTTAACTGGAAGATCTGAGTTGAGTTGGGGTATGGCCTGAATTTACAATTATATAGTTTCATACCAAAAAATGTAATTTTTAACTTTTATATATTATGTATATCTACCACTATGAATTAGATTTAATTTCACAAAAAAATACTTTAAGTGGTCTGGCTCTATTATTGAGGATTTTGAAATTTAAAACCAAAGGTACAACACCACTGACTATTCCACACTAATTAGTGAATACCCTGCCACTTATTTGAAGAGCCATACCTAAATAAGTTTGTTTTAGGGATGCCTTTCTTACAGCCAATAAGTAACCAAGAACATTGTGAGGCAACAATATAGGTGTCAAAATGTGTTCTCAATCAAGTAAAAATTGGCTATTCTAGTATTTTCTGTCCCTCTTCTATAACTCACAAACAAGCAATAGACAACACTACATACCTGTTCTGTTTCTACAAAATTGGCGACATGACCATCATCATTTGTTCCCCGGACATTAAACCTGGTTCCAGCTCGTTCACAGCTTAATCTTGAAATGATGCAAGCCTTTGCCTGTTTATGAGCAGCATAAATTGTTCTGATTTCAACTCCCCCACACATGAGGCGTAATAACCAGTCATCACAATTCACACCATAGTGCTTGAGATGCAAATGCAAAGACTGATTCCTGCAAGAAAATAAATAACACAGGATAAATTTTAAAACAGTGCTCCCAGAATACTGATTTAAGGTTATTAAATTAAAAGGCACCAAAAATAAATCAATTCATTTACATTTACTAAGCTAAGGATCAGAAAATAAGGCTATAAAAAGAAATGGAGGGCTCAAGGCCTGGCTCAAGAAGTACAGCACCAGCCTGGCAAACACAAACCCAAGTACTGCCAAAAAAAAAAAAAAAGAAAAGAAATGAAGATGTAAGATTCTTAGTCATGTGATCTATGTTCAATATTAAAGAATCCTTTTTTTCGGGGGGCTTTAGTATCTGTGCCCCATTTCTGTTATATGTTTATATATAATGAATATAATCTAACTTGTTCCAAAAAGGATGACACATACACAACCATATCCCACTTTATAAAACCCTATTTCTAATACTAAGTCTTGCATGACTCCATTTTGCTTAATTTAAATAGCCATATATGGCTTGTAGTTACTGTATCAGACAGTACAGGCATAGTATTTAAAACAAAACTTGTTTATTTTGTTATTGTTGTTTTGCAGTGCTGGGGGTCAAACCCAGGGCCTCATCCACACTAGGCAAGTCCTTCACCAATGAGCTACACCCCCCAGGCCCTTCAATTATTTTAGTATTGTAGGTAATAGACTAGAGCCTGGTTTATAAACTTTTGCAGAGAAAAAAGCTTTATTCAAAAACATCACAAAGAAGCCTGATGACTAATAAGCAGATAAAAGTGGAGTCATTATTATTAAAAAAGCAGGGATGGGAGACTTGAGCCCCACCAGGCTGGTCTTCTTACCCTTCAGGGGTCTCTACTGGAGCCTTAGTCTCCCACATAACATATATGGAAGATTCTGGGGAAGCTTCTAGCCAACCTACCACTAAGAAAAATACATTGTTGAGCAAAAAAAACCTCACCAATGCAAAACAGAGTTTTCTATGTCACTGAAGGTTCTGAGTTTAAAACTCTTCTATTTCAAATGGAAATGTTTCTCAGGTGTCTACGCTACCTTGGTGTCTTAAACAAGGTATAAGAAATATAACAGCACTCTCCTGAACACTCAGGGTTATTAATAACAGTAACAAAGCAGGAGTCCTCAACTTCTCACTCCTCAGGTCACAGGCTGTGGTGAATACCCATCAGGTAGTGGCCAAGGGCAGTTCTGATAGACCAGCTACTTTTCTAAGAAAGCAAACTGCCCCAGTACCACCAAAACAATGTATACAAAGAGATAAAATATATTCAGGAAACTAAGAAAGCACACTGGAGTATAAATGAGATCACCACCGGGAGAATGTTAAATCTGGGTGACCAGTACATTTTTAACAAGCACAATGACTTCAGGTTTCATACTTTACTATTACTTATACTGATCTGAGGCAAAGCTCAAATTGATTGTGGTCCAGGCTGTCTAAGGCACCACAGCTGGAAGCCATGACATGGTATAGAGAGAAAGGATGCACTCGTCCTCAATTAAACAAACCTTGGATTCTAGGCATTTTGTATAGGTAGAGCTTCCTTCTTTACTGCCAGTTTCCACTTTTTCTTTATTATCAATGTGCTGCTGTTTTAATTCTACTTAAATGAATATATAACTCTTTACTGGTAGCAGCTTCAAATCACAATGGAATAAAACTGCCTGGTTTTTGTGACAGGCATTTGACACTCTTTGGCTTCAATAGTTACTATATCATTTAAAAAAAAATATTTAGGCCAGGTGCTGGTGGCTCATGCCTATAATACTAACTACTCAGGAGGCAGATATCAGGAAGATCACAGTTCGAAGCCAGCCCAGGCAAATAGTTTGCAAGACCTTATCTCAAAAATACCCATCACAAAAAATGGCTGGTGGAGTGGCTCAAGGTAAAGGCCCAGAGTTCAAACTCCAGTACCACAAAAAATTTAGACTAAGGTACAAGAGTATGAATTCTAAAAACTTTCATTTTCCTGTGCAAATTTAAACAAGTTTGCCAATTCTTACCAAACAATAAAAACAAGACTGAAAAGTGGGCAAAATTCACTGCTGGCATTTTAGCCATGCTGTTGTTCAACCTGTCTCCAATTGGATAACCCGCCTGGATTTTTGTGATCTAAATGTGTCCCCATCTCTACCCTTAATTGTATGAAAAGATAAACGAATTACTCCTACTGGTTAAACTCAGCAAATGCAACTACACCTTTGCTTGGACTTCTAATATGGCAAGAAAGCTTGTCTATTTAAGGAATTAGGGATAACAATGAGGAGGGAACAAGAAGGTGAGGACAGATGCCTTAAACACATTTGCAATACAATTACATTTTGCAAAGGACTTCCATGCCTTCCACCAGAAAAAGCATCAGGTTGACACTTAACGCTGCGACCTACTTCTGAATGCTAGACAAAGTCTATCTCATCATCACTACTTTCTTTGCACTGAAGGGGCTTTATGGACACTCATCTGCTCTGTTATACCCTCCACTGCCTTCTACCTCTTCTTTCCTATCTCTCAGTGTCTCACTGCCTCTGACAAACAGTGTTCTAAAGCCTTTACTCATTGGCCCTCTGTCCTCCCCTATACGTCTCTTCTGGGTGAAGAACTTCCATATAAACTACAAGGTTGAAACAGAAGGTAGTTTCCTCTCCTAAGGTCATTGTTGACTTTGATCCCTCTGAAAGCCAGAGCAAATGTGTCAAACCTGAATTGTGCTATTCAAGAACCATACAAGTGATGTTGAAAGTGTAAGGGACAGAAAATACACAGGAGGGAATGCCTTGAATATGAAGTACTGAGGGAGTCCAAGGGAGAGGGCTGTGGGGCTTTGGCCTTATAATGTATGTTAATACAATAAAATGTAATTTGCACATGGCATTAAAGAGAAAGTCACCATAGATGTTCATTGTAAAAAATAGAGGGATTATACTAAGAATCTGGTCTGCTAAAATAAAGGCATGGTAATTATAGTCCCAGGTGATGTGTGCCTATTTACAATCAGCACAGTTACCCCAATCATGTAACATATCACAGTTACCTACATAAGTACTTTTACTATACTTCTAATACTCTACTGGACTTTGTCCCAGTATACTATTTCTTCACAGTCTGTTGCTTTTACATCAATCTACTCAGGGTGGGTAGTAGCTCAGTGACAGAGTACCTGCCTACCATGCTCAAGGCCCTGGGGTCCCAATACTACAAAAAAGAAAAAAAATCTACTTACAATTTTAAAATTTAAAATCAATAAGGGAATGATGGCTTAGAATGGTGATAATGCCAGAGACAAGCACTCAAAGCTAAGAATTGTAAACATAAGCAAAACAATTTCATCACAAATAAGTCATTCTCAAATTTAAAACTAATATTTTAAATATATTTCTGAAATGAAAGATCAGTATTGGTCAGAAAGAACAAATGGTTTCATGTCAACGCTAACTTTAAAAAATCAACACTGGCTGCCTGCCATGCTATACTGCAGACTTGGAAGCAGGAAAGAGGCATATGCTCTGTTAGCAATGTCCATACCTTGCTATCTCTGGAAACAGCAATTGTTGAACCAACCTATCACCAAGCTACCACATAGCACATGATTAAAAAGGAAAAAAATAAAACACAGACTCACCAGAAAAACCTATTATCAGTTTGTGTGTTCTTTGCATGCTACGATGTGCATTAAGGCTCAGATCTAAACTGACTCCAGAGGCAGACCATGCAAAATAAAAGTTTCCTGAATTCAACACTTTTCGTACTTCTGAAATTCGATCCTCATCTGAAGCATCAACTCGAAGTGAAATAAACTCAGTGGAAGTAACTCGGAAAACTTCAGATTCTTGAATTTTTCCAACAGACATACATCCAGTGACCAGGACCAAATAATGTAACATGGTATCGCCTGCAAAACCAAAGATATTTTTAGATGAAATAGCCCAGTATTTTCAAGCTATTTAGCTTCTTCTGACTTTTTTCTTGTGTTTCTATCTTTTAAACTGGCATTGTGATTATTTTAAACTTATCATGAACATGTTTAAATTCACAACTGTCTTTTAATTGGAAAAATCTTTGTCTAAATGCACTTAGTATAATAAGCATTTAAACATTAACGGGATAATCTCACATTTACAAAAACTGGACTTAATTAAGGACTATAAACATTTATCCAAAAACAGTGTTTTGTCTTTACTACCTTCTCTAATGATGGTAAGTTCAGATAAGATAATGAATGTGGAAGTTCTTTGCAAATGGCAAAGTTGAAAAAAATGGCACATAAATATGATCTAATGATGATGATACAGAGCAAAAAAGTTCTTGGTAACAATTTATAAAGCAATTTGGCTTATGAAAACTTTCCTAGATATTTTTTGGGAGAAATGGGGATTGAGATAGGGTCTCACTATGTAGCCCACGCTGGCCCTGAATTCAAGATCCTCTTGCCTCTGCTTCCTGAGTGCTGGGATTATGTGCATGCACCATCACACCTAGCTCACAGACATTTTTTCATCTAATTGTAATAAAAATTCTATGGAATTAGTCTGAATTTGGAAGTCAGCAGTGGTGTCCTTTGAGCATGGGCTCTGACATAGGCAAAAGTGGTCTTGAACCTTGACTCCTTTACTTATTATTTGACAACTTCAGTATGTTAGCATCACCAACCAGTGATATAATTCCATATTATAAAAAAAGGAATTTAAATATGTATCTCAGATTACTTAAGACAGTATTAGTAAAAGACCCAAACATAGTGTTTTACATGTGATAGATTAATAACAAGTGACAAATATCCATTTTATAAAGCAAGGCTTCTCAGAGCATGATCCATAAACTATTACCAGCACCCAATGAGAAAAGGTGCCTGTACCACAATGGAAGTCCACTACATCACTAAATCCACCTTTTTTTGAAAACCTATAATTAGACTTTCTCAGTAAAGAAAATCGTGTGCTAGATTTTCATGATAGTACAAGCTGCTTCTTCCATTACAGACTAGTAAAAAACCAAACCAAACAAATCATGGGCCTGACCAGTCTTTGAGGCGCATTTCAAGTCACACCCTTACAAACTGGTGATCAAAGTCAGTCTGAGACCCACAGTGACATTAAGTAGCAGGCCTGACTGTAAACATGTCTCTTCTACTGTGCATCAGGGAAACCATGATGTGTGGTTCACATGAGGACACTTTTTCCATAAAGCACTGAAGCAAAGAAAAAGGGCAATGCTGTAATTTTCTCTTAATGTGTTCATTAAGGGCACAGTCTCTGGAACTTAAAATCACAAGTGCTTGAAAATGTAGCACCTTTATGGGAACCAAACATTGCAAGATTAGCCTAATTAATGTTTAAAAGGTATGTCACACTTACAGATAAAACATGGAATCTGAAATGATGTACAGGTACTCTCAAATTTTTAAATCACAAAAACAGAAATGAAAAAATGGATCAATTAGGTAATAAACTTACCAAGATTTAACCGTAAAACACCTAAGAGTCCATAGGCATCCAATACTTTGGAGTATGTACTTTTGATTGCCTCTTTTTCTGCAGATGCTGTAAGAAAATTTTTTGATTAAGAAAATGATGGGAGACATCAGATTCTTTTAAGCAATAATCCAGAATTTCAATGAAAAATTTCTAAATGTGGTATTTTTTGTTTTTTGAGACAGGATCTCAGTATGTATGTAGCTCTGTATGAATTCATGATCCCGCTGCCTCAGTCTTCAGAGTACTAGAATTATAGCTGTGCACACCATGCGTGGCTAACTGTGATATTCTTAACATAAATGCATTAAAATATTTTTCAAGCTAGCAACATAGTTCTTCTCGGGGAGTTAACAAATTATTACAGCATCATCAATTAATCCATCTTTTCCCACTGATCTGAACTTTTATTCTTTATTGTTTTATTCACTGACACTTAGAATAGTACATAGAAAACTGACAAAATATTTAACTGGTGAGAGTTACTAGCAATATTTGACCACACAGGTTAGTATAGGAATGGAGAAGTCTTCAGTCTGACTTGTTAAGTAAGTATAATACATAGGGGAGGGAGTTATGGTTATTCCACTGAAAGCAAAACAGTAGTAACAACAACAACAACAAATCCCAAAACTTGAAAGGAAAACCTTCCTAGTACTTAGCAAATATACATTTAAAATGTAACAGAGCCAAAGAAATACTACCACAGCTAGCATTTTCAAGAACAATTACAAATAACACATTCTATAGTCTACAATTCAGAAAGGTATGATCCTCTTCTTCATTCCTTCCTTTCCCTTCCATGTTTCTATCCTTCTCCACTTGCCCTTTTTCCCTTCCCTTCCCCCAACTTAATTCTCAGCTGATGAGTTCATCTCATGTTTACCTCTCATCTCTTACATGAATCCTCTTCCCCTTTCCTCATTTATCCGCAATGCAGAATTAAAGAATCTTTGACAGACTCATGTGTTCTGCATCAGAAAATCATGTAAGCAAATCATTTTGACCTTCTCATTTCCTGTTTATCTTCAGTGCTGACAAAAGGGCTCTTCTCAGCCTACTGCTTTGCCTAATACCCCTTGCTACTTTGTATAGTGATCTCTTTATTTCCCTTGAAGCTCTTCTCCAGAATTCCACAGTCTCATTTCCTTATCTACTTCACCTCTTTAAGGCCATCTACTCTTAAGCCTTCTTCCTAATGACCTCACTTCTGCTTTTTAATGAGTTGTGCTGTACTTACTTGGCAGCACAGGCTAAGATTAAATGACTTAATCACTCAATCAACTGACACTGTCACATTTTCTAAAATGTTCTTAAGTAAGTGAGGACTTTGATCTAATCACCAGAATGAAATAGAGTGGGGAAGATTTTAAGCCACTAGAAATTCTGTGGATTTGTATTTGATTTTGCATTTCTAGAGGTACTATGTTATTATTGCACAATGTGTTCATAGAAGTTACTCCTAACATTCAACGTAAATATAAAACTTTGCAACATAAATTTAATAATATTTTATTAAAATAAAACAGTATTGCCTTCCCCTGAATGCTGCTTTATTAAGAGAACCATGTGCTTAGCATTTGCAAAGCCCGGAGTTTACGATCCCTAGGACTGCAAAAGAATACCCTATATATACAAAAACAAACATTTAGAAACACTTGTTGTATCTCTCATGACAGAAGATATGGCTTCCAGGACAAATATTATCTTACAGTTTTACAGGTTACATGCTACATGTATTTAAAATGCTATCACTAATATAGTACTATAGAAATTACTATATTAGTATCAAGTTTCATTAGCAATCATCATTTAGATTCACATATCAGCAGCTAGCAAGAGTTAAAAAGAAAATAAAGGGCTGAGGGGGTTGGCTCAAGTGGTAGAGCACTCAGGGCAAGCATAGGCCCTGAGTTCAAACTCCAGTAGGTCTAACAATAACAGTAACAATAACAATAAGAATAAGAAAAGCCTCTCTGTAATTTAAATTGCCATGCAACAAAATATTCTCCTCTAATAATGTATAATAGTACCTTCTCATTAACTGTACTCCAAATACATGAATGACATGCCATGTCTCTCAGGCTTAGTGAAGGTTCATCTATGAAGACTGTCACCCAATTCAAATATAAAGCAAATGCCATGCTGTTTAGATATTTGCTCTTTTGTATCATATTCTGACTCAAGAGACAATATACAATATAGTCTTAGAAAAGTAGGTTAAAGGAAAGGAAAATAATTCAGAATAGATGAGACATCATTTTTCCCTGCCAGTAGTTTTTGGTTTCCTCTCAAAATATTAAAAGAAATTTTAAACAATTTTTACCTGAGGTAGTTGTATATTATTTCTATGATTATTATGAATGTGAGTTTTCATGCATTATTCAATTTTCAAAATAACCTGAGGAGCAAAGTTACTATTATTTCCACTTGACATATGAGGAAACAGGCTTAGAGAAGTAGCTAGGATTACAGACATGAGCTACCAGCACCTGGCAGATCTTGACTTCTTACACCATTTTCCACTAAAAGGAACTAGGACACCTTGGAGAAATGGACAACTCTAGGTCAGGGGCAGGGATACCCCTGTACCAGAAGAAAGGACATGTTGAAAGAAAAATGCAGAAGACAGTAAAGGGGTTTTATTAGACAAATCTAGGACAATTTGAGCATTAAAATAAATAATGGGTTATAAAAGCTCATGAATTAAAAGTCTAACAAGGAAAGGGTATTTACATAGCTTCAAAGTACTTCAAAACAATTATAAAGAGAAAAGTCTGCAAGACATGCCCAACAAGCAAATAACAGGGTGAACACCAACAATAATGGGCAGTTCAAAACTATGCCACCTAAGCAGATATAATGAAAGGAACACCACTTCTACACTATTCCTCCAAAAGTATATAACCACGATCTAAGCATGAGGAGCCAAGACACAAACCCAAAGTCAGTGACATGCTATAAAATAACTGGCCTTCACCTTCAGAGTTCTTAAGATGGTAAGTGTCAAGAACTAAGGGATTTTTCTAGATTTAAGGAGACTAGAGACATGACTAAATAAAATGCACAAATCTGAAGTGGATCTATTAACTACAAAAAACATTGTTGGGACAAGTGGTAAAACTTAAATGGAGTCTGAGAATTGATAGTTAATGAACAGTTAATT